TTTGTTCAATATTTTTTTTACTTTTAGTTTCTTAATTTTTCCCTAATAACCATGAAAATTGTTAAAATGAAAGAAATTAAAAATTTTGATTCTAGTTGATAATAAAATATAAAATTTTTTGCTTCTATGAAAAAATTCTCTATTTTTGATTATATAAAACTATCAATAGAGAAAAGATCAGGGAAATTAAAGGGAGACTTAGCCCAACAATACACTCCCCTGGTTTTCAATCTTTATTTCCCAGGCCTGCAGAGGTACCATTTGCATTAGTGATTTGCATCAGGCCTAATTTTTCAAGCCCAAATTTTTTTTTTTAAGTTTTGCCGGCCTGAGCCAAACTCCAATTTTTTTTTTAAAAATTTACTTGCCCAGCCCAAATTTATTTAAATTAATTTTTATAATTACTCAAAATAAAATATATATGTTATATGGCATCTAGTTTTTATAAATCAAAAATTCAACATAAAATTGATATATTTTAAAAAATCTCCAAGGCCCAACCCGATTTTTTATAAAAAAATAGGTCTGGAACCCATTTGGGGCGGGCCTCTTTTTGCCTCTAATTTGCATAACCAACCCCAGATTTTTTTATTTACATTTATTCTTAATTTTAATAGCTAATATAATAATGGTGATTTAAAATATAAGGTCCTGCCTGTTGTAATATAATTTTAGATTCGTTAAATTTGTACTTTATATTTAATTTGGATTTATTATTATAACGCGTGATAAAAATATTATATTTGAATAGTGAGAACTGAAAATAATTTAAGTTATGAATATTATTTATAAAGAAAAATGAAAAGAGTATAAAAACTCCAATTTTTACCATTCGGGATGATCTTTTATAATTATTAACTTTTTGTATTTTATTTTTATTAATCTTTTTTATTATTTTTACTTTTATAATTTTGTTAATTTGATAATGTTATAATTTTGAATAAAGGATTAGATTGATTTCATGATTCCTAATTATTATTAATTTCTTTTATATATATATATTTGTTTTCTATTTTTTTTTAGGTTTCAAAAGTCCCACTTTCAACATTCCTAATTATTATTAATTTCTTTTATATATATATATATTTATTTTCTATTTTTATTTTTAGGTCCCAAAAGTCTCGCTTTCAACATTGGTGCCGAATATTTTTAGGTTTTAACTAGCTGCTTACAACAGTAATGCTTAAAATAAAGACCCAGGGGAGTTAGATCTTCAGTATAATGCCAACCAAACTCCATACAAAAGAAAGAAATTCAAAACGGAAAAGGGGTAAGAAAAATATGAATTTGACAAGATGATATTTAAAATGTAGGTTGAAAAAGAGAAATTATTTTGATAAGATTAGGTTCATGTAGGAATATAAAATCTAAAATTAAAGACAAAGGTAACATTCATAGTAGATAAGATATAATTGTGTTTAGTTATTTAAAGGTGATTATTAGGAATTTTATATTTAGAAGTTACTGGTAAACTAAAAACCATTGGAATTTTGAAACTAATAGAGAATATGATATTTTAGATTTTAGAATTATTATTAATTGATCACTAGAAATAATTATGACAAAGAAACATAAATTGCGAAAGTTAATATTATATAATAGTTTGCTAAGATATAATAATTAAAAAATTCGGTGAATAAGATTAGAATATAACTTTATTGTTAGGAAATAGTTGATTAAATTCTTATTGAAGATTTACATTTAACTTTTATTTTAAGGGCTGCGAGAGATAAAACAGCCTCAAGGATTAATGTGAATGTAATATATTAGGTTGTAGATTAACCAAAAATCTTCATAAAGAGAAACGGCTTTCGTCATTATAAAATTTATTTCGCAATCGAGCTCAATTAGAGATCGGATTTTTATTTTTTTGAATCATAAATAAAATTTGAGATCAATTATGCATCATTATTCTAATAATGACAGAAAGAAAAACACGCCTTAGAAATATACATATCAGTTTTCAACAACGGTTGTGCGAAAAATTATAATGATTAGATTTCATAAGTTCTTCAAAGACGTGGGGTGAAAACCATAGTGATTAGAGTTAAAGGGTTGTTCATAAACGTGAGTATGAAAACTTTTATGATTAGATGTCATTGATTTCTCAACAACGTATGTATGAAAAGAGATTTATATATTTCAGCAGTTTTTTTTAAAGACTTGAGTGTCAAAGAGTACTTGAGGAAATAAATACACAATGATAATTTTTTTTTAAAAAAAGAAGATTTTGATATATATTTTAGAATAGGATTTTTAGATATAAATTTAGTATAGACATGGCTGAAAAGAAGATGAGGATCAATAGCTAAAGGATGAGTACAAGTAACTTTTTCAATGAAAATATGGGGCTAGGCTTCATTAAGGGGAGAGGGGTGATAGAATTTGATATATTTTTATAATTTATTATATATATTTTTGTTACGTATTTTTAGTATAATTTACGCCATTTATTAAAGGCAGAATTAGATTAGAGGAGATAAATGTAGACATTAGGATAAAGTTAGTATATTTATATATTTTATTAGTATATTTGAATTAGATAGTTTATTTTTGAGAATAAATATAAAAGTGATAAAATATTTCAGAAGTTATTTAAATAGATTATTTTAGGTAGAAGTAGATTAGATGTGATTACCTGAAACCTTAAGATAAAGTCGATATCTCAGCAAAGGCAAACTGTCGTAGAAGACCCGGAAGTTTAAAAGATAGATAAAATTACAAGAATTAGAGGCAACAACCAATCAATTACAAGAGAAAGTAGAAAACAAGCGAATTGTTAGAAGGTATGGTCAAGATGTTATGCTGCAATCGTTAATTGCTGACCAATATAGCCAATTATTACCGAGACTTTAATCTAAGATACGGAAATCGACAATCATAGGAACAAGAATTCGTGAAGACCATCGTTTATCACAGACCAATCAATTGTTTATCGAGATAAAGAGCTAATCGTGGATTACAAGAGAATGATAGAAAACAATTTACAATAAATTGTAAAAAAAAATTAAGACAGATTAGCAAAAACAAAAGTTGAAAAAGAAACCGGATGTCATCGATAATCGTTCATCAAGCGTGGATCGTGGAAAACAGGCGTTTATCAAGTTCGTCAGTCGTCTACAGAAATAAAAAGCTGATCGTTTCCCAGAGTGACAAGCGACAGAAGATATCAAGCGATGATCGAATACAAACGGTCGTTCGAAACCAAGAATACTAGACAAGAGTCAGCCTTCGTTAGAACTTAGAATACAGCAAAGATTAAGAAGAAGAGATAGGGTGTATATATGAGGTCAGTAAAGTCGAAACCGAAAGAAGATTGACTATTCGCAGAATGTTGGGCCTAATTTAAGTGGGGAGTTGTTGTAATATAATTTTAGATTCGCTAAATTTGTACTTTATATTTAATTTGCATAAAGGGTTCTTTTGGATTTATTATTATAACGCGTGATAAAAGTATTATATTTGAATAGTGAGAACTGAAAATAATTTAAGTTATGAATATTATTTATAAAGAAGATTGAAAAGAGTATAAAAACTCCAATTTTTACCATTCGGGATGATCTTTTTAATTATTAACTTTTTTGTATTTTATTTTTATTATTTTTACTTTTATAATTTTGTTAATTTGATGTTATAATTTTGAATAAAGGATTAGATTGATTTCATGATTCCTAATTATTATTAATTTCTTTTTTTATATATATTTGTTTTTAGGTCTCAAAAGACACACTTTCAACACTGCTTATCAATTTTTAAACTAAATCTCATCATTTAAATTTTTTTTAGGTGCATGAGTATATTTAAAAAAATTAAAATACAACCCAGCCATGTACCAAGGGATGCAGGTTAGATATTTGCTAACCTAATCTATAAATTTAAGATATTTAATAATATATATTTTGACTGGGCCTAGAAGAGAAACTAAAACCTAGTTTTGTTAAATGGCTAGATTAAAGTTTCTGAGTTATCATTTTTAATTTGTGTTTTATTTTACTTGATATAATGCCAAGTTTGCATATCTTAAAATTAAACTTTCTTTAAACTTCAAAATATAAATTAATAGCTTTCTACTGGATTTAAAAGAGACCTTCATTAGCCCAATATTATATTTTCTAGCAGGCTAGGGTTTTTAAAATTTGATTTTAATAAGTTTAGCATTACAAATAAAATGATTGTCTAAATACACTGAAATATTATATTTTTTATCAAATACAACAAATTTTTAGAAATGAGCTTGGAATTTTTTTTTTCAATATATAATATGGGCTAGGCCTGACCCTAAAAGCTCATAAAGGTCTTATAAAAATTATAGTTTGAGCAAAACATTAAAGCAGTTAGTATGATTCATAAATGTTCTTCTTTTACTAGCATTATTATGATCATTGGAATTTAGAAACAGATTTTAGTGCTACTAAGATCTAGCATATCCAATGTTATATATTTTCTAAATAGGCATTTTGATATTGACCAATCATTAGAATATAAAATATGAATGAAATTGGTGGATCAAAAATATGTAAGGCTTAATTATGCTAAGTACAAAAATATTACAATTCAACTCAAATGAAGATTTGGCATAAATTTTTTTGGGAGAAATAAAAAAAATTGTTCAGGATTAGGTTGGATGCAGATTACTACTGTATACAATAGAGTACACTGCAATTTTTAAAGGTTTAAACTAATAACATTACTTGAATTAATCTTAAAACAATATTTATTATGGGTACCTAACTTGTGGCCAAAAATAACAAATTTATTTAAGATTTACATTTTTTAAAATTAAAAATAGTTTACCAGCATCTCAAATTTATAAGCCTCTATTGATAAGTTTATACTTTGTATAATATAGCAAGATATAACTGTTTTTTTCCAAAAATTAATAATAAACATAGCTTTGCATCTCTGTTAATGACAGGATCTTGCAGTCCAAACAACAATATAATTTTGAAAAATCTGGTAGTCTTAGTTGAAAAACCAAAATAAATGCAATATTTGGATGCCATATTTTTTTATTATAATATTTTCAATAAAATGATATAAATTGCAATTATTTTGTTTTTTTTCCTTTAATTTTTTTCAAATAAAATTCCAATTCTTTTCCTTCTAAAAGATATCCATCACATCTTCCACATTGGCCAGGTTTAGAACTCACACAAGCTTAAATTGAAAATATAGTTAGGCCTTTATTTTTTAAAATATACCTAATAACTTTCCAGACATAAACTGTTCTTCAACAGCTAATTCTAAGACAGCAAGGGGTTTTTTTTTTTCAAATTTGCGCATAGCTTTCTTACTTTTAGTAGCATTGATCATTGCTTCTTCTTGTTCTGTCTACAAAAAAAATAGTATATAAATATTAACTTAATATATACTAATTTTGCTCCTTTTTTACGACCCAAAGGTAAAGCATAATGTGATTCATACCATTGCCGGAATGGTGCACCATCAACTACTACTATACAATTTTTGACTAAGGTTTTGGTTCTAACTAACTCATTATTGCTAGCATTATATACTACATCTATTATTCTAGTTTTTCTGGTACAACCTTAAAGTAAAATTTATTTTCAAATAAAAAATAGTATAATACATTCAGAGCCCCAAGAAAAATTTCCAATATCTAATCTTAAAGCACGATACTTTTTATTTCCACCTCTAGTTCGTATAGTATGAATTCGCCTTGTCCCTAACTATAAATATTTAACATTAGAACTTTTAGATTATTTAAACTTTAGTATTGGCTGGTGGTCTGCCTAATTCAAATTTCCTTTTTTTTCTTAGAGGAACTCTTTTTCCACCTGTTTTTCTTCTTTTATGCCAACTATCGCGAGATATACCTTAATAATTTAATTGTATATGATATTTTAAGAATTTCATTTTTACCCATTAGAAAATTGTATTATGAAGCGAAAGAATTGATGATTTGTAAATAATCTACATTTATATGGATAATTAAAAAAAAATAATAAACATAAAGATTTTTTAAATACTATATATTTAAATAAAAATTATATTAATGAAAATATTAAATAATTGAAAGTATAACAGAACAATTGTAATAATATTAAATTTTACTAGAAATAGAAATTTATATTATATGAATCTATTAAAAATTTATTAGATATAATTTCTTACAATATTGATTATTAAATTTTTTGAATTCGAAATTTTTGGTGTTTATCTATATATTTAGTAAATTATCAGAATATAATTTTTTTCTTAATTTTAGAAAGAAATGGTAGATTAAATAATTAAAGAAGTTAATTCTATTTGAGTGTTATAAAATTATGTTTCAATTTATAGGAATTAAAAATATCTATTTATAAAATACTATTAAGGTTGGTATTGCCTAATTTTTAGAATCAGCGTATACATGAGATGAAAGGGGTAGATGGGACACCTCTAGGGGAGTTGGAAGATAGTTAAACTACCAAATATTACATAAAATCTGAATACCTTTTGTTTGTGAGATAGAAGAAGCCACAAATTCTTCATTTATTATTTGTATTGCAAATAATACCAACTGTTATTAAATGACTCGTTTAAAAATGGCTAGCACAAGCCAACTATTTTAGCCAAAAAATATTATACAAGTCTGGAGATTTTGCTTAAAAAGAATAGAAAGTGTTGGGCATCCATTAACAAGATTTTGAGGCTTGCATAATACTATTTTGGTTTAGACCTCACTTTAAAATTGGCGATATCGATCCCAAAAGATATTAATTAGAAGATTTTTTTCCAAATTTACAATAAAATAAAACATGATACAAATATAAAGTTATTAATTTCTTTTAGACATTTATTTTTTTACCTAATTCATTTTATTCAAAAGATTTTTTACCTCTCTTTGTAGTGGCGTAGCTAAGAATTTTCCTTGGAGGGGGTCCATACATATAAAAGCCTGGGGGCCTTCGCCCCCAAGACCCCACTTTAACGGGCCTTCGCCCCATTTGACCGGCCTTCGGCCTGGTTTATCTTAAAAATCATATTTGTTTTTCTTATAATATAAAAGTCCTAGAATTATTGATCATTTTAATTAGTGCTGTTAAACGGCTCCAGCGTCTACATGAGCGGGACGGGTAGGAACAGTTTGCATCCTTTTTTTGAGGGGGTAGGCTGCTTTAATGGGAGTAGGATAAATTTTTTGGGGGGTTATCTATTAAATGTTGAGATGAAATAGGACAAAATTTATTGCTGTAAAAATTAATACTTTTATTATAGTAATATTATAATACAATTCATCGACCAAATCTATATATTGCAAGCAATCACACACATTGTTTTTCAAAATTTAAAAGGTTTAGATATTTCAGCAAGCTCATAATGCTATAATAATTAATTCTTGTAAATAATGGAGGTTTTAATTGAATTTATTATCTAAAAAATAAATTCTTTATATTCACAAAATATCGTAGTTGGTAGTAGAGATAGATTAATTTAAGTTATCCTTTATAAATTCTTTGAAAAGAGTATCAATAAATAAATAGGTGGAAATAATGATAGGGGGGTATGCAAAGGTTTTTGAAGGGGGTTTGCATCCAGTGAAAATTCTATCATGTAGACGCCGAACGGCTCAATTTAAGCCAATTTTTATAAACAGCTAACTCAATATTTTAGCCAAAAAAATATTGCTCAAGCCTAGAGATTTCACGAATAATGTCTAAACCTTTGTATCATCCATGAACAAAATTTGGCTTGCAATATATTGATTTAGCCATATCTCAAATTGAGCCATAAACAACACTAATTTTAACATCAAAACCAGAAAATATAAATATTCATGGTATTATTTGATATAAAATCACTTTTGAGTCTTTTGAACGTATTATCTAAAAAAATTGCTCTGGGGTGGGGTCCAATCCCGAGCCCCCCCCCCCCCCACGTAACTACGCCACTGTCTCTTTGTATATTTGGCTTCATCAATGTTCTATAGACTAAACCCTTTATAGCAGAAGTGAGATGATAATAGCTCAACCCAAGAAATATTCAACTCAAAGAAATTTTTTAATTAGATGAAAAATATTTAATAACAAACAAGGATCTAAAATAAGGATTAGTATTAAAGGTATTATTGCTAAACGGCCGATTAAGGTCGATTTTTTAAAATGGCCAGATTTAGATTTTAGCCAATATAATATTATGGAAGCCTGGAGATTTTGTCATGATGGTAGAAAGGTTTGGACCTCTGTTTGCCAAATCTTGAGACATATAAAATATTATTTTGGCTAAAATTTTAATGGGTCTTTTTAAAAATCTACCTAAATTGGGATGTTTAACAACATTAATTAAAGGTTATCAGGGGTGTCACTAGCCTTTACAATCTCAGGCGGCTCAACTAAAATTTTTTATGTGGACTTTGCCCCCCTCTCCATACCTCGCTTTTTCCTGGCCTTTGGCCGGGTTTTATATTAGTATATTATATTATTGAAATTTGCAAACTCTAACATATATATGTTTACCTATTTACTTTAAATTTAAAAAAGTTAAAAAATAACGATTATGACAATTGTCACTTTTCTATGGTAAATCTTCACTTAAATTTTATTTTAACATCTTTACAATATATATTTTTACCTATTTACTTTAAAAAATTCAAAAAAGTTAAAAAATAACGATTATGACAATTGTCACTTTTCTATGGTACATCTTCACTGAAATTCTATTTTAACATCTTTACAATATATATTTTTACCTATTTATTTTAAAAAAATTTAAAAGAGTTAAAAAATAACGATTATGACAGTTGTCACGTTTCTATGGTAAATCTTCAATGAAATTTTATTTTACATCTTTACAATATATATTTTTACCTATTTGCTTTGAAAAAATTCAAAAAAGTTAAAAAATAACGATTATGACAATTGTCACTTTTCTATGGTAAATCTTCACTGAAATTTTATTTTAATATCTTTACAATATATATTTTTACCTATTTGCTTTAAAAATAATTCAAAAAAGTTAAAAAATAACGATTATGACAATTGTCACTTTTCTATGGTACATCTTCACTGAAATTTTATTTTAACATCTTTACAATATATATTTTTACCTATTTACTTTAAAAATTCAAAAAAGTTAAAAAATAACGATTATGACAATTGTCACTTTTCTATGGTAAATCTTCACTGAAATTTTATTTTAACATCTTTACAATATATAATTTTTACCTATTTACTTTAAAAAAATTAAAAAATAACGATTATGACAATTGTCACTTTTCTATGGTATATCTTCACATAAATTTTAACTTAATATGTTCACAATATATATTTTTACCTATTGCTGACTAAATAGATCAACTTTTAGTCGACTATATTAGCCTTTTTAGTCGAATATATTAGTCTTTTTAGTCGACTATATTAGTCGTTTTAGTCGACCAAATTAGTCGACTAATAGACTAATTTAGTCACTAAAGTTTTTCATGACTACGACTATTAGTCGTAGTCGAAGGAACTCGACTAATAAACAACACTAGTCAGAATCTATGACATGTGGGCTGAATAAAGGAGTTTTAATGTTGTATGTCTCTAGGAATTTTGAATAAATTTGGGATAAAAACAATTTATGAACACGAAATTTGCTATTGAAAGCATTTTTAAAGTCTACTTTGATAATAGCCATGTTAGGAGGAGGATTTTGGAATAAAAATGGCATGCAAAGCTATGCTTTCTTCCTTAACACCATCCTAATTGATAAGTATACTTAATAAGTTAAGACACTGAGTTTTGACCCATGGCAATTATTTTTGCCAATAATCTTCTAAATAGCCCATTGCAATGGGGTGGATACCACCACAGTGTTTGTGAGATAATCAGGTTTGCCCCCATGATTGATTCGAATCTATTATGGCAGGTCTTTTTTTAAGAGTATTTAGGAAGGTTTTAATCATTTAAATGATTCTTTGAGAAGAATGTAAATTTTATACGAAGTGAGAGAGCAAAACCCAGGATGTGGAAAATTTCTTAAAAGAATTGATAAATATCATAACTCACAAATCATATTTTTTTATTCCATATTTTTCATAATATATTTGGACTTTTCTCTAAAAATTTATAGAAATCTTGGAAGGATGAATAAGGATAATCTATTCCTCTCATTTGACTATTATTCTGATTCATCCATCGTCAAATGAAGATAAAATTTATTATTTATCCATACGGAGAAAATTCTGATTATCCGTCATTCTTGACGGGCTATCAGCTAGTAATATATAAACGACTAGACAGTTAACCATTATTGCTCATCTAAATTATGCAATCAAATGCTCTCAGCAGCATAGTAATAATCTTAAATTATATTACATAGCTACACAAATAATAATTGCTAAATATCATAACTCACAAATCATATTTTTTTTATTCCATATTTTTCATAATATATTTGGACTTTTCTCTAAAAATTTATAGAAATCTTGGAAGGATGAATAAGGATAATCTATTCCTCTCATTTGACTATTATTCTGATTCATCCATCGTCAAATGAAGATAAAATTTATTATTTATCCATACGGAGAAAATTCTGATTATCCGTCATTCTTGACGGGCTATCAGCTAGTAATATATAAACGACTAGACAGTTAACCATTATTTCTCATCTAAATTATGCAATCAAATACTCTCAGCAGCATAGTAATAATCTTAAATTATATTACATAGCTACACAAATAATAATTTCTAATTAATTTGCAGTCATAGCCATTATACTCACGATGTAAGTAAACTCATATAATTTATTATGTTAGAAAATTTTAAGCTTATATTTGTGCTAAAGATCAAAATATATATAAATTAGAAGGCTAAATTATTTGATAAAATAAGTTCTCTACACCGGTTAGTCATTGTTGCATATTCAATTATAATTGAAACCATAAATATTATTAATAATATTTTTTTCTATGCTCAATAGAGCCAACGAATTTAATCGTTCCTGACCCTTTGCGTATTGAATATATATTTTAACACATTTA